AGGATACTATTATAATTATCCTAGGCTTACAGATGAGACAGTGATCTCACAAAGATTATCTGCTCAGGGTCACAAAACTGATATGCAGAGAGACAGAATTCAAACCCACGGCCTGATCCCAGAGCCTGGAATCACTGCTCTACTCCTAATTCCAAATCTCACTTCGTCCTCTGGTGCCCACCCTTGATCCCAGGATGCTGTCACTTCTGGGGTGCTTATAGCATTCATTCCTGTGCCTTTTTCTGTGGTTCCTCTACTCAACCAGTTGGGCATCTCCTCAAGGTTGGTCCAGTGGCAGCTTCCAGAGTCCCAGGCATGTGTGACCATGGGGGTCATGCTGTGAGCTGGTAGGCAGTGCAGAGCAGCGGGCAGAGAACTCATCCTTGCTGTAGGAGCCCCTGTTGCTCTTTGCCTGATGGCCTCAGCTTCAGTTCAGATGTCAACTTTTTGGAGAGATATTTCCTGATCCCACTACTTGAAAATGTCTCTTTCCCCAGATGCCACCCTGTTTCATTTCTTCCACAGCATGTGCCCCAACCAGATAGCGCTTGTTTGCTCCCTTGTGTGTTGTCTTGTCCCTCTCCCCAAGAATGGAAACTCTAGGAGGGCAGAGACCCTATCTCTCTTGCCCACATTTGTATCTTCAGTGCCTGGAACAATGATTGGCTTATAATAAAACATACTGAAGTACTTGTTGAAGAAATACATGAATGAACACACTGAAATGTTTTTGAAATGCTTTATTCATTAGATAAATATTGAATATCAGTGTTGTGCTGGACATTGTTCTAAATGTCAGGAATACAGTGGTGAGTACTGTGAAGCAAACCACTTAAAAAAATATGGACTCTAGTTGTGTCTTCAAATTATCAACAGCCAGGCCATTTGGTTAAAATTATGGTGATCATAGAGCGTGATTTACTTTGGTTTATACTTTTGTCCTGACCTAAGTCATAATAATAATAATGCCCCTTCCACTCTCAAAAGTGTCCTGGTTTGGATGATAAATTATGTATTCAGCATAGTTAAACTTGAGGTATCAATGCAATAACTACCAGCAGACAGGCAAACAGCAGATAAAGTAACCCTGTTATGAATTAGTCAAAGAGTGGGTCTAGTTGCTGTGTATAGTATTCGTTTTGGGATGTTGCAAGTGATGGGGAAACGGTGCAGACCGACCTGAGCAGAAACGTCAAGGGGAATAGGCAGACTCACGAAGGTAGTCCGGCAAGGTAGGATCCAGCACTCAAACTCCAGGGTGTTCCCCTCATCCTGGAGTAGCCCTAGCCTCACCCTTCCTGGTATCAAATGGCCACAGCAGACCTGGCCTCAACCTGTCTCAGTTCAAGTACAGCAGAGAAAGTGAGAGCCTTTCCCAGGAGTGCTCGTGCAAGTCCCGAGACTGACTCAGACTGGTCCAGCTTGGGTCATGTACTCCTGCCCTTCTTCCTAGCAAAAGGTGGAGTGCTGATTGGCTAAGGCATAAGTTATGCTTCCCACCCTTGTAGCTGAATATGGAGTCCTACCCAGATCACATCTCCAGAGATTGGAAGAGTAGCAGGGCTGTCCAAAAATGGAAAAAGGGGATTTTTTTCAGAAGAAAAGAGGAGGTATTCAAAATATGGTTGGGGAACCTAAAGCGTCCACAAACATACTGTTTGTGGATGTCTGCATGTGCACACGTGTATGTTTTTGGGCTGATCAACAGTCTTACTAAACCAGGGCAATAGCTTCCATCAAATAATTTTATATCTATATAATCTCTTTCTCAGGTTTCTGTTTTACAGATCCAAATAAAGTTTTCTTTTTTCTCCCCATCACCACCCCGTTTAAGAATCCCTTACTTTCCCTACAGTATGTGGCAGGCCTTCACACACATTGATTTTCTCTCTCTTGGACTTCTATGTACAGATGTGCAAGTTGTGCACGGCACATACACCATAATGTGAATTGTGCAATATGGTGACCCTATGTAATCCTCATAGAAATTCTCCTAGCAGGTGAGGGAAATGGGGCATGGGAAAGTTAATTGATTTGTTTTAGGTTGTCCTCTAAATCCTTTCTTCTTTCACTTAGAGACTCTGGTCAGGGCAAAAAAGTTCTCATGCTCATTTACCTGGGAAAGAAGTAATTGCTTGTCGCCATTAAACCCTCCTCATGCCTTTAAATAGACACTTTTCCTGAAGCCTTGGAAATTATAATAAGGTATTCTCATTTTTGTTTTACATTTAGACAGATTAAGCAAAAACAGATTTAAAAAATCAGTGAACCATCTGTACGGTTTATACCTTTAGGTGTAGAAGAAGCCCATAGGCATGATTAATTCTGTGAAAGGTATGCAAAACACCAGAATTTCTAAATCCTGCTTGGGTCTCTTTGTTCCCAGTCTTAGCCAGTCGATAGCTCCCAAATCAAACTTGGAAAGAAACATGGGAATTTAGAGTTGGTTCTTGAATTTTAGTGCTCTTTGTAATCACTGTGAGTGCTTCTGAAAAATACAAATTCGTGGCCTCCACTTCAAGACATTCTGATTCAATGTTTCTGGAATGTGCATTTTTAACAAGCACCCTGGTAACTGTAATGTGATGTATCCGTGAACATTCTTTGAGAAATAGAGGTTTTGAAATGAAGTTTTCAATAAAAATGAGACGAGCTATCCTTTTCTGCATTCATTCAATATTCATTGAATCCTAAGTGCCTATAATGGTCACAGTCCTAGGAATGCGTAGTGTTTGGACTTCCAAAATAGTCTGTCATTTTCCTTTTGGTAATCACAGTGACAATGTTTTAGAAGAAGTTACCCCCTTTTAAAAGCAGACAAGTATGCAAAGGCTAGAGGTGTGTGCAAGGCCCTGGATCCCAGGGAAGGTTCCTGAGTGCAAGATGTCTTTCCTTCTGAGATACCCATTTGGTCAAAAGAGGCAAACTGGAGGTCAGGCAGCTGGTCTCTCATCTTTATATAGAAGTAACAGTGCAAGAGCTACTCAGGCTGATGTCAGCAAAGAAGAGGTGGGAAAAGTTTTTGTGCATCAATAATGCATGCTTTTGCTTTCTTATATCCCTGTCAAATCAAGAGGAAGCACATCCTCCCTCTAAACATGCTGCGTGAGTATGGAAAAGAAATATAAGATCTCTGTCTCAGCTGTGATTAAAGATAGGAAAGGAATGAATATTTTTTTTTTCTGTCCCCACTCTGACACCTGGGGAAATTGAGGCTCAGATAGATCAAGTGGTTTGCCCAATATCACATAGCTGGCATTCTCAGCTATCTCTTACTGCTAACAAACCACTCTGGAATGTAGGTGCTTAAGGCAGCAATTTATTACCATGTCAGAGTTCTGGGAGGTTCTTACTTTTTGGCTCTCCAAATGGTTGCAGTCAGATGGCAGCTGGGTTTGGAGCCATCTGAAGGATCAACTGGGCTCAATGTCTAAGATGGCTTTTTTCTCACATGCCTGGTGCCTTGGTGTTCTTTGGCCATTTTTTTTCTTACTACATCACATCTCATCCTCCAAGACCTTGGCTTGTACTTTGCACAGCATAGTGGATTTAAGGTCATCACACTTCTTGTATGGGGGCTAGCTTCCAAGATGGCAAGAAGAAGAAGCTCCCAGCCCAGTTAAGGCTACAGATGACATCATTTCCACCATAACCTGTTGGCCAAAGCTGTCACAGGCTCTGTCAGAACCAAAGGGATAGAGAAATACACTCTCCCTTTTGATAGGAAAATGTCAAGATCACACTGCAGAAGATCATATGGGATGAGAGATACTGATGTGGCCATCTTCCGGTGATTTTATTTTGCATGTGGGGAGGATGTGATTCATTACGGGCCAGAGGGAAAACTCTAATATCTTATCTACGAAGATGGTACTTGAATGAGTCCTGCCTTCTGGTACTCATGTTCTGTGTAATTCTTACCCCTTGAATCTTGGCTGACTCCTTGACTTGCTCTTGACCAATAGAATATGGCAAAAGGGTACTTCATAAGAAGCCTTGCAGTGTCTTTTGGAATGAATGTGCTCATTCTTGGGGAAGCCAGCTGTCAAGTAAGAAGTTGATTACCCCAAAACCACCATGCTTCGAGGAAGTCCAAGTTAGCAACATGGAGAGAGAAAGAGAGATGCCCTACCGGCCACAGCTATTCCAGTCATTCCAGCACAACTGCCAGACATATGAGTAAAGAAATTATCTTGGACATTCCAGACTCAGCAGGACCATGGGGAGACTAACCAAGGAATGCGGGTGATAGTCAGAGTGGAAACCCCAGACACAGAGCCTTAGTGAAGCTGCCCTGGCCATTTTTAGACATTCACACAACCCAAGTTTAAGCACTATCCCTGCTGTGAGCTGAATAGAATAGCTATTGCTTTATGCCATTAAGATTTGGGGTGGTTTGTTATATAACAATAGATAACTAGAATACCTAATAATAATAATAATAATAATAATAATAATAAAATACTTCTAGACACTGTGCTAAGTGCATTATATATACTTAAATCATATATATATAATTTATTTCACATACTTATATACATTTTATATATGAAATAGGTATATATATAAAATAGATCTATTATACATATCTATAGCTAATATAATCTACACAGTAACCCTGCAAAACTAGAATTCAGAATGTTACTCTACTTTATAGAAGAAGAAAAAGTTAAGTAACTTGCTCTAGGAATCAACCATGTGGTGAAGCTAGAAGTCAAGACAGGTAAGTTGAGGCTGGCAGCCATGAGAGTTCATGTCTAAGTCCAAAGCCCATGCTCTTCCTCTATTTCATACTGCTTGGTCCTTTTCTAGCCTTGGCTTAGTTGAACCAATTAACAGCTTTACAAATAGAACAGATCTTTTATGGGTGCAGTATGGAGGAAGAGGAGGAATGAGCTCCATTTGTGGAAAAATACCTGATCCTGACAGCGACATGTGTTGGGGGTATGGTTGGGCTGAGGTTCTGACCCCCTCTCCCTCTTCTGTTACAAATTTTCCAGAATTTTCCTGGGACTGAGTTGAGAACATATGCCATGTGAAAGTGGGAGAAGACCAGAAATAGCTCATTTGAGCTGGTGCATGAAATTTTATTGGGAACAGGTATGATTTTGGCAAGACCATGGGGCAACCAAAGAGAAGAAGACTGTAGGTCACACAAGGTGGTTCTATGCTTTAGTGACTTGAGGACAGCCTATCCAACTCATCATCAGAAGTTCCAAAAGTTGCTGAATAGTTGGAAGAACCAGGCAACTGGCTGGACTGACTTGCTCCCTGAGGCTTTTTGCAGCTGTAAGCAAGTGCCCTGAATCAATAAGATTTTCACTTTAGGAAGAGAAGAGATATGGCCATGGATTTCTACCAGTGGGAAAACGACATAGCCCTGTCTTTGCCAACTGGCTGGTCAACTCTTCTTATTGCATTAGCAGAATGAAATTTTGCTATTGGCCCCAGTACCTCTGGAAAGCCTCCATGATTCCTGTGGCCTTTTCTGCTTTTTTTCTCTATTTTTTTTTTTTTTTTTTTGCCTGGATGAACTAGTGTCTAGAAGAGTACCTGAGATGCGGTATTTGCTAAATGAATGAACTTCTTCATCCTTTACTCTTCAGTATTCGGTAACATTCACGAGGTTCTTTTACCATTGAAATTAAAAATCTTAAGACCTTGGAAGCCAAGGTCTTAGAGCTAATAAATGAAGGATCTAAAGTTCACTGTTGTTGTCTTTTATTTTATTTTATTTTTTAAAAAGATTTTACTTATTTGACAGAAAGAGAGATAGTGAGAGAGGAAACACAAGCAGGGGGAGTAATAGAGGGCGAAGCCAGGCTTCCTGCGGAGCAGGGAGCCCGATCTGGGACTCGATCCCAGGACCCTGGGACCATGACCTGAGCTGAAGGCAGACGCTTATTGACTGAGCCGCCCAGGTGCCTTGTTGTTGTCTTTTATATACAGGTGATGTAATCACATATATTATATATATGTATTTGGTCGATTTCTATTATGTACACACGCATATATTATGTCAGGAACTTAAAAATTGTTAAAATTATAAAATTTCATTTGGTAAAGGGGGAATGATGGCACTGGAAGGGTTGGAGGGAGGAACACAGGAAATGAATCATTTGGATACATCAACTCTCTGGAAATGGTATGGGCATCTTGGATGTTAGCCCATTAAACTGGCTTATAAGATCCTTTGATTTTATAAGTGGATGAAGAATGTAAATGCATGCAAATAAAGTCACGAAATGAGATTAAATGGGGAAATCTAAGAGAAGAGCTTGAGATAATATTTTATTTCTTACACCCCGCCACCAAAACAACATGGCAACCAAGAGACATGTTTGAAGGGGGCTCATGGGTCCCAGTGCAAAGCATGCCAAAATAAAAGGACACAATATAGTATATGAGAATGAAGAGAAGTAATCGAAATCAGTACATGACAGATCCTTCATTTTTGAGACAGTGTGACAGATGTCTTTTCTTATATGGTGTTAAAGATCACAACGAGGTACTACTCCCCTGTAGATTGGGAATTCCAGCGTAGATCATAATTTCAAAAAAATAAAAATCAATAGTTTTCTTTTCATTTACAGTGATTAATAGTGCAGCAAGTGTCTGTACAGTTATTCCGTGAATTTGCACTTAATAGATTAGTTACTCAAAAACTGTATTTTTTAGAAAGTAGAAAAACTATCCAGTTATATAGAGAATAACTGATGTTCTCACTAAAATCTTACAGAAAACAGATTAAAGAGAGGAGCTGTTTTGGTTAAATCTGGGATGGAGGCCCTGGGACCTTGTCCATTTGCCCTCTGTCTCTCACTCCAGGGTGGTTTATGCAGCAATACCTCTTAGACATATGCGAGGGCTCTGTGAAACTCCATGTGAAATCCCTCATGGGAGATTGGGAAGCCGGAGGACTCAGTCCTCAGGTACTCATTTTTTCTAGTAGCACATATCCTCTGAATAATTCTTCATCCCTCTTTATTCTGCGTGGACAGAATTGACCAGCTGATTCAGGAGACCAGTGGGATATTTACTTTGTGGTCTGTGGGCCACCTACATTTTCCGACTCTTTAAGAGTGAATACATTATACACACACATACATGCCCATAATTTTTCCCATGGTGTCTTCTTTGCCTGGAATGTCTTTTACTGTCTGTCAATAAATGAGAAAATTCTTCAGGGCTCAACCAAATAGTTCTTTCTATGTATCTTTATCTCACCTCTATTGGAAAATAACAACTTCCCTTGTATCACTAAAGTCTGTTATTCAGGCTTCTATATTCCATGGCATGGTGATTATTTGTGTATCTATTCTACTTATTCGTTCACTAAATCATTCAGTGAATATTAATTAAGCACCTTTTAGGTGCTAGACGCTATTCCAGGTGCTGGAGATTTAGTACAAACAAAATGAATAAAACTATGAGGTCAAGAGAAGTCATGTTATATTTAGCTCCATAACCCCTGTGTTTAGTATATGAGCTGTAGTACAGCTCAATAAATATGTGTCAACATGAAATGACATAAGATCTGTTATTTGAGTACCACTCATCAGGACAGATGATGGATTTGAATCAGGATGAGGTTTCTCTATTTGCAATATGTTTTGGAAATCATCTAACTCTTGTCATGGAAGGCATGAAGGTTCATCACCCACATGGCTCTCATTTTATTTTGGTTTCATTTATAACACAGATAGCTTTTGATGAAGATAAGCTCCCTAGCTCCCAAGATTGTACTTTTAGCAGGTCTGAGAAAGAAAACATTGGTTTAGTTAATTTTGTTTGTTTTTATTATTATTTTTTAATTTTTAACAATTTTTAAATATTTATTTATTTATTTGAGAGAGAGAGAGAGAGAGAGAGAGAGCACGCATGAGAGTGTGGGGGAGAGGGGCAGAGGGAGAGCAAGAGAATCCTCAAGCAGAGTCCCTGCTCAGCAGGGGAGCCCGACGCGGGGCTCAATCCCAGGACCCTGAGATCATGACCTGAGCCTAAACCAAGGGTCAGACGCTTAACTGTGCCACCCAGGTGCCCCTAGCCTTGTTTGTTTTTATGGAGAGCCTTTTATATTGCATCAAGAAAAAGGGTGATTATTGTAAAACATATAGATGGGATCAGGAATAGGAAAATCGTCAGAATTAGAGGGAGTGCAAACTATTGGCTGTTCTATTTGTCTCTTTTTCATGAACCCATGGTTTCTCTCCCATGGCTGCTCAGCTTCTACCTGCCTACATGTTTCATTCTATTTTCTTTTTTTTTTTTTTAAAGATTTTATTCATCCATTTGAGAGAGAGAGAATGAGAGATAGAGAGCACGAGAGGGAAGAGGGTCAGAGGGAGAAGCAGACTCCCCGCTGAGCAGGAAGCCCGATGTGGGACTCGATCCCGGGACTCCAGGATCATGACCCGTGCCGAAGGCAGTCGCTCAACCAACTGAGCCACCCAGGCGCCCCTCATTCTATTTTCTTTACTGACTGGCTTCCTCTGTTTACTTTCATTTTACTTCCTATAACTCTAGCTTGCATATTGCCCTTCATAGCCCTACTTTACTTCAGGAAATTTTCCTCTCTCTCTTTTTAAAAATTTTTTCTTCTTACTCATAAACTTGTTTATTGAAGTATAGTATACAGACAAAAAAGTTGCACACATTTTTGGTGTAGGGCTCAATGATTTTTTCCAAAGTGAACATACTTGAATTACTACCACCTAGATAAAGAAATGGAACATTACCAGCTTCCTAGAAGCTTCCACCTTTCTCCCAGTCACCAGCCCTTCTCCAAAGGCAACTGGTAGCTTGGCTTCTAACACCATAGATTAGTTTGCCTGTTTTAACATTTATAAAAATGTAATTATATACCCTTTACTCTGAGTCCAGTTTCTTAGTATTTAGTACTATATTTGTGATTTCCGTCCATGTTGTTTTGTGTGGCACTGGTTCATTCATTTTAATTATGATATAGTCATTATTGTATGAGTATACTATACCATATTTATCCATTCTACTACTGATAGCCATTTGGGTTATTTCCAGTCCAGGGTTGTTATGGATAATGCTGCTATGCAAATTTTTGTTGTTTTTTGGTATTTATATTTGAGAGTTGAACTGGTTATCAGACATACAAATTTTACTTTGGTAGATACTACCCAAGACTTTTCAGAGTGATTATCTCAATTTATACTCCCCCAGCAGTGCAGGAGAGTTCTACATGCTCCATATCTTCACCCTTACTGACAGTTGGTATTATCAACCTTTTTCTTTTTAGTCATTCCAATGGGTATGTGGAAGTATCTCATTGTAGTCCTAATTTGCATTTCCTGAATGACCAATAAAGGTATTTGTATGTGTTTGATGTTACTTGGGTGGGGCACCTCACATATCGTTTTGCCTTGGGTCAGTCCTGGCTCACTCCTGTTGTCCTGGTATAATTATTGAGTGGTCCCAGTTTGGATGATGCGTTATATGGCCACCCTACATAGCATATGTTCTTTTGTGAGGTACTGTTCAAATCTTTTCACCATTTTCCTATCACATTGTCTGCCTTTTTTTCCCTGATCTATATGAACTATTTATGTCGTACGCATATAAATCCTTTGTTGGTTATACCTATTGTAAATGCATTCTACTCTGTGGCTCGACAGGTCATTTCTT